AAAAAAAAAAAAGAAACCATTTTTTGGTTTGAAATCCTAATGAAGTACTAGAGATAAAACAAGACAACGAATTAAGCAGATAAACCTTTATACTTAGTAGTTACTAATTTGATTTGATTCTCACCTACTTGAAAATGATCCTTGTTCCAGGTTGCAATACTTTAGGTTTTGAATCTTGGTGTATAGAATATTTACTTAATACCTCGATATGGAATGTCATGCAAAGTAAACTTTTAATCTGAAGATATGAAGCCAACATAATTTAAACAAGACCATGTTAACATCGTTGAAGGTGATGATTGATAATGACATGTCTTCAAATATTTTGGTATAGACAGTAAAGCGCATAGGCCAATATGGATAATATTGGTGTCAAATAGTATTGGATAATTAGCACAAGCAACTTAGAGCGTGTTTGACTGTGCTTACATGTTATGCATAAGTCAAAGTTACATTTAAGTTACTTATTTTGCCAAACGCGTATTTTTAAATCATGTTTTAACTTACACAATATACTATTTCTGAAGCAAGTACTTTCTTCAAAAAACCTTTTAAGCAAAACCAAACATGCTCTTAATATTCTACTGGTTATGGAAATGCAGGCAAGATATATTTTAAATTTACTTCTAATCTTTTTGAGCTCTTTCTTTTCGTAAAAGTTTTTTGACTGGATTTCTTAATGTACAGATGCCAAATGTTGACAGTAAAGCTTGATAGACTTTTCATTAATTTCTTAGTATTGTCCTTAATCTCACTGGTAATTCATGAATCATGATGATGTCCCAATCTCAGTTTATTTATTTCACCACTAAGGTTTGTAGAGTTTTGATGCATCGTTCTCTGCTTTTTATCTGAAGGTGCCTGTTTTTATGAGAATACTATTATAGCTGGTTGATAAATATCTTACTAATGTTTGTTTAGGTGTCCCTACTTCAAGTTCATAAACTGCAATAACTTCAGGTTCCAGTTCTGTTGCTCAAATATCGTCATCTTTGGTTCCGACTTTCAGTAGTGGGTATGTATGCCTCCTGATGTATAAATTTTCTTCTATCTTTTTGTTCAATAGAAAAATAAGTAATTTTTAAACTTTACTTCCAACCTTAATCTATACGTTGTTTACTACCATCATTGAGATTAGTCAATTCTGTAATGTTATATTTCTTAAATTTTTTTAGAATCGATGGATAATAAATTTTTAACCAAAAGTTAAATTATTCTAAAAATTGCTACTAAAAATCA